GCGGCGGGGCAGCTGCTCTGCGACCCGCGCCCCTGGCCCGGCCCCTTGGCGGGTGCCACGCGGACCTGCAGTAGTGCTTGCGGGCCCCCGGCGTCTTTGGGCGCTTACGACCCCCGTACGAGGACCCCAGCGGGAGTTGGGATTTGGGGGGCGGCGGCGGTGGGGCGGAGAGCCGGGGTGCGCACCTGGTCCCCCCTGGCCATGGCGGCGAAGGTGGACCTCAGCACCTCCACCGACTGGAAGGAGGCAAAATGTAAGTGTAAGCAGGAGGGGGGCGCGAGGGGCGAGGGAGGCCCTACGTGGGCCTTCTCCAGCTGGACACCCCACCAGCAGCCTCCTCCACCCCAGAGACCTGGGGAAGTTGAGGCTCCATGTACCCTATATGGACCACCCCCATTCGCAGCTACGCCCCCATGTGCCCAGCGCCATAAACCACTTCACCCCAGACCAGGTCCAGGTCCCCGGGTTGTGGGCAGTGTGAGGATGGTGGCCTCACCCCACTGGAATGGATCACAGGGCTCCCCCAGAGATGATCTACGATCTACCTCCTTACTCTGTTGTAGGAGGGAAACTGAGGCCCAGCGCCTGAACTGAATAGCCCAAGGTCACTGGGAGTTTGCTTCATATCTGACATTAGGCTCTGAACTCCCCAAGCTTTGTGTTATTTGGTTTCTCAAGTGGTGGGTTTTTAAGTAGAGTGGCAGGGAATGGGCTAAGGGGACAGCTCTGGGGCTGGTGTCCCACCTGGTGGGGTCAGATAGTCACAAAGACTGGCCTCCCTGGGCAGGCCCATTCCACCTCCCCCCCATTCCTACCCCCAGGGGCCTGCCTCTCTGGGCACGTGGTCTAGTGCCCTTTTGCCCTTATCACTGGCCTCTGGCCACCTGTAAGCAGTCTCTGCCTCATTCCTAGGGGACACAGGGCAAGAACTGGGTGGTAGGACAGAGATGGGGCACTGTGTCTCTGAGAACAGTGACACCCCACCACCCCCAATCCACAGAAATCAAGCCATTTTCTCCCACTCCAGGGCAGGGGGTGAGTCCTGGTGGGCATGAGCCTCAGGGCTGAACTCTGCACCCAGAACAGAGCAGGGAAGGCAGGCAACCTGACCTGTAGAGCCCCAAATAGCCCTGCTGTCCATCCAGCTGCCCCTGCCCTTCAGGGCCTGCTCCCTGAGCTCTTGTGATCATTCCCCACTGGATCCCCTTTCAAAAGGGCAGGGTTGGTAGCTCATTGGCTGGGCCTGTGTGGTGGAGTGGGTTTGGCCAATGGGGCTGGGAAGGCAGGCCTGCGGGCGGGCTGTGGTTGGGGGTAAAGGGAAGGCATCCTCTCCGGTTTGGAGGTAGAGTTTAAGATCACTTACCCTGTCGTGAATTGCGTTGCCTTCGCTGGGATCTTAAAGCGCCGGCAGGAAACACTTGACTGCTCCGGGAACACAAGGAGTGCTCGTCATCCCTCGGCCCTGGCCCTGGAACACTGGTCAGGGCGAGCAGTAGGGGGCCGGCCCTCTGGCAAGGGGACTGTCCCCACAAGGGGGCCTGCTTTCCCTTCTCTGTCAGAGAACAGCGACCCAGGGAGGTGGGAAAGAGAGCTGGGGAGGTCAGGGGCCCAGGCACCTGTTCCCCAAACTGCTGCTTTTTCTAGGACCCAGCTCTCCGCCCCCTCCCATTCCTTGGTTCCGCTGAAAACTTCCAGACCTCAGGAGGCTGAGGGGCCAGGGAATCCCAGGCTGCTGTGGTGTCTCTCTGCTAGGAGCTGGGATTTCCATTCATTCATTCAGTCCTTCTGTGTAGCCAGCACTGTTAGGGTGCAGGGGAGATAGTCAAGGGCCCTGCCTTCACGGAACTTAGGATAAAGGTTAATGCTGTGAAGAAGCCACGGCAGATGGGGCCGCCTGAGCTCTAGTGTCCAGTCAGGGGGCAGTGTTGGGGGGCTGGCCCCAGGAACCCCAGCACTAGGTGTGAAGCCCCCAGCAACCATTAGATGGTAGCTTGTAGGGGCAAGACACAGAGAGATCTCTGTGTTTTAGTTATCTACTGCTGCATGGTTCCAAATTACCCCAACACTTAGTGGATTAAAACAGCAAACATTTATTTCTCGGGAGGTCACTAGGACACGTGAGGGCTAGAGTGAGCCCTGCCCAGATGGCTGTTGGCTAAAGGTCTCAGTTCCTCACCTTGGGGCTGCTTGAGTGTCTTCCTGACATGGCAGCTGACATCCCCCAGCACGTGACCCTAGAGCAGGTGCCTGAGGAGACCAAGCCAACAGCCACAGTGCCTTTTTGTGACCTAGGGGCAGAGTCCCACCATGTCTCTTCTGCTTTATTCAGGGTTTGGAATCAAGTCACAGCATCCAGCCCATATTCAAGAGGAGGGAAATTGGTTTCTGCCTTTGAAAGGAAAGAGGATCAAAGAATCTGGGACATATTTTTAAGACCACCACATTGGGAGGCTGTCCCAGCTGGACTCTGTCTCTAATTGGGGTCCAAACTTTGATCCTTGAAGACCCCTCAAACTTTTTCTTTGTTATATTCAATTTACACATTCCACTGAGTTATATTGTACAGTGAAGTACACTCCATGTACAGACCTAAAGTACGGTCAGTGTACTTTTACCTAAGTATCCGACTTATGGAGAACATTGCCATCACCCCAGAAGGTTCCTCTTAGCCCCTTTCCACTCAGTACCCCTTACAGCTAATCACTCTCCTATCTATTTTCTTTTTCTTAAACTTCATATCACCAGAGGCATACAGCACATCCAGTTCTTTTTACTTAACATCTGTGTGATTTGTCCACATTATTGGCTGTACTGACAGTTTGCTTTTTTTATTGTTGTGTGATATTACATGGTATGGATGTACCACAGTTTGTGTACTCAGTCTCCTGGTGATGGGCGTTTGGTTTCTGGTTGGGGACTGTTGGGAATAAAGCTGCTCTGAATATCTTTGTACATGTCTTTGATGGACATGTGCTCATCTTTTTCTTAGGGATATACTGACACAGGCCCCTAAATGCCTGTCTGTACATGAGATGATCCTCTTTCAAAGACTGGCACATAGTAACCAAACTCACAAGAGACTGAGGTATAGTTCAGAAGGTTGAGGTACAGTTCACGGTAAGGAAATATTATAGCAGTAAGTCTGGAAACTCACCTGTGCCTGGGCAGGATCTCCTCTCCCTGTATTCCCTGTAGAAAAACCATGTGGAAGCCAAATCATAGTCTCAAGTTTGCTCAGTAGCATGTGTTCTCAGCTGGGGAGCTGGGTGAATGATTTGGGGCAGGCTGGACAAGCTTCCCTGGCAGGGGTGCACCTATCCACCAAGGATGCCCTTCTCCCGGGCTGTTACTTGGTATTTCAGTCCATGTACTGCACCTGTTGAGTGTCTGCTCCTGGCCCTGGGTGCAGAATACCTCAGCCCACGGCCAGTGAGTCTTCTGGACAGATGGCCAAATTCTGCCTGGGCTCTGGGCATTCCTTTTTTCCGTCTTCAAGCTGACTGCCCACTTCTTTTTCTTTTTTGGGGGGGGTAATTAGGTTTGTTTGTTTGTTTGTTTGTTTTTAGTGGAGGTACTGGGGATTGAACCCAGGACTTTGTGCATGCAAAGTCTACCACTGAGCTATACTCTCCTCCCAACTGCCCACTTCTGCTGGCCCATTCTCCCTCTATGTAAGTAAATACCATCAGGCTGGACCTTCCTGGTTAGGGGACATTCAGTCTTTTTTGTTTTTTTTAACATACTGTTTGATTTTTTTTATTTTATTTTATTTTATTTTATTTTATTTTATTTTATTTTTTCCCTTAATGGAGGCATTGGGGATCGAAACCAGGACCTCATGCACACCAAGCACATGCTCTACCACTAAGCTATACCCGTTAGCCCCACATTGGAAACAGTTCTGCCGTAAGGAATTGGGCATGAGGGGACTTAAGGTCAGGCACTGGGGTATCTGGGGGCTTTGTCCCTATAGGAGGGGCCTGGCCTCCAGGAGAAGGGCGCAGATCATCCTTCTGACCTGCAGTGGGGGCAGAGCTGTGTGCAAGAAAGAGAATGGGCATTGGTGTCATCAGACATGGCAAGCCCTGGCACCACTGCTTCCACACTCCTGGAACCTCAGTTTCCTCATCTGTAAAATGGGACAAGCAGCACCTGATTTGTATGTTGTGCTGGGAGCACATCTGAAATTTTGTACAAGGGGGCCAAAGGGGGCCAAAGGTCCTTGTCACCCTCGGGCCTGTCTCCTCTCACTGCTCTCTTCTGGCTGTGGGGACACTTGGCTCCTGTAAACTTGTCTCCCTCATGGTCTCAAATGCTGGAGCCCAGACCCACGTGTTCTGAGCCCTATTTCCTCCCCCGGTGGCTCAGGATAGGGCTCCTGTGTTCCAGCCTGTTTGCACGGGGCAGGAGGAGGACTGATTTCAATCCTGTGGGACTTCACTCAGAGCGGATGATTTATCTGATTTGATTGCCGAAACCGGGAAATTTTCCAGGCACACCTGGGAATAGGGGCAGCGGGTGGTGGTGGGGGGGTTCTCCCACCTGTCTTCTAGGGAAACAACCTTGGCACATCCCAGTGCAGTGGAGGTGAGGAGGCCTGGGGAGAGCAGAAAAGCTCCTCATGCTGTCTCCTGTGCTGTGGGCTTTGATGAGTCCTTGCTCCTGGGGAATGGTGAGCCCAGGTGATGAATGCCCCTGCCGCCATGTTCCCAGGGCATCAGCTCTGCCTACCCGGCCTCCTCCAGAAGAGGAGCCTCCCTCCGTGACGTCTTGCAAAGTGCCATAAAGACACTTCTTAAAACACATCATTGAATTCCCGTTCGCCCACTGCACTTTATGGTCCTGGCGCAGCCTGCTTCCTCCAGCCCGGCTTTCATGCCCAGGAGCCGCTGAAAGCTTCGTCCGGGGTCAGGCCTCCCCATCAAAATTTACTGCAAACATCTTTTACAGCACCTGTCTCACTGGGCTGTGAAATACTCTCGCCTCTCCAAAAATGAAAGAGGATTAAAACGTATGTTGTACATCTTTTATAAGAAAAATAAAACTCACTTGTGCTTTAAGTCTGCACCTGGCCTTCTGGCAGAGGGAGGTGGAGCGTGTTATGAATGCGTGGGGCATATGCCTGGCTTACGGGTCCTGCTGCTCCTCCCCTCTTGATGCTGAGGCCGTGAAGACGGTGCTCGGTTGCTCGGCTGGCTTCTCCTTTCCCATAAATCATATCAGTGCAGCACATAGCTCCTCAGGGGCCAGCCA